AGTGATAACTTTAGCAAAAGTCTATTTTTTGTCTCCATTTAGTCTCACTGTCTAAAAGAAACAATTGAGTTGTAAAAGCCTTATTTGTGATTTGTGACCCTGTCTGTGAAAACCCTGCTAAAGTCATTTTTTTGGGGTGATTTACTGTTTTCTATATAAAATCATCCTTCATAAATTAAAGAACATTCTGTGAAAATGTAACATTGATATCTTTATTACTGACTGAGTAAGACCATGTCAAAGATTGAAATAATAGTGAAATTAATGGTTAAAATCAAACTTTGATGCTTGTTATCTCATAAATAGATTTTGAGACTTTATCCTGGATTCCACAGAGAGGGTCACATTTTTCTTTCTTATGAAAAAAAATGACAAGAGGAGATGTTCTTATGAGTAAAAAATCTTAATCTTTAAATGTTATACCTGTAACCCTTTCACTAAAATGCTTCAAAACACTGGCAACTGAAAAAGACTGAAATGTCAAAGCATTCTTATGTAGAGTATTTAAGCTCAGAAAATATAAACATTTTAAATATCTGACACACACATGCACACACACACACACACACACATTTTATAAACACATAAATAAAAGTATTATACATAAATGACCAAGTTTAACAGGAAGTGATTTTGAAGTCTTGTGAACAACCACATCTTGAGAAGGACAAATGAAGCACAATACGTTGACTGACATACTGTACACTTGCAACCCTCATGTTTACAGCAATACAATCAATCTGATGATGACATATCTGTTTTCCATATACAAAAAAATGTAGATAAGCACAGATTCTGAAAGCAGAAATGTTTTTAAAGAAATGAAAAATACCAACACACAAACACACACACATACACAGACCAATGTAAATAAAACATTACAGACATATGACTGGGAGGGTTGTTGGTTGATATTTCAGAGGATTTTTTTATTTATTTTATTTTTTATTTTTTGGTCTGATGTGACCTAGCAAAAACAGCAAAGCAGAGGAAAGCTGCACGTTTTCTGATGATCATGATTGGAAGAGTGTTACACAGCTAACACCTGCACTAATCCTTATTTAAGCTACAATCTGCTGCGCTACATAACATAAAGAGCAACTAAAATGAATACAATTCCATCCTGAATAGATCAAACAGTGTTGTTTTCATTAAGTCAGTCTTATTACAATACACCACAGTTCAGGTGAATTCGTATTCATATTAAAATGACAAATATCTGGTACAGGTTCTCAGCTGCACACATTCATTTTACAAGGTCTATTTCTTTAAAATCCACATGGGTTTAGAAACACCTTAACCATGAAGCTTTACCTTGCTTTTGAGAATGATTATTATTATTCTCTTATATAATTTCTCTTACGATTCAAATATGTTTAATACATTTATATATGCATCGTAACTGTATTTTCATGTTTGTAGAATCTATTGATTCTCCAAATTGATTTTCTTTATTTTAAGAGTTTGCTCTGAAGTACTTCCCACTAAAATAAATAAAATGCTAACAGCAAAATCATTTAATGAGCTTTTTTTTTTTTTGAAGAGACAACCCTAGAATATTTAAATAGATACAATCGTTGGTTTGTAACAGAGACGATGTGTTTTTATGTGTGTATGTGATTTCACTAAACCCCATTGCCTTCCTTTGACTGAAAAGAATGCAGCACACATGTGGTTTTACTTCTGCAAAACTAATGCATAAACATCAGAAAAATATCAGAATGACCTTTACCACATCTGTTTTCTCTTTTGTCCCCCAAAATGGATCTATTACTATGTAAAGTTATGCATATGAAAATATAAGTGTGCGCTCTTATGCTGTGAGCCTCACCTGCTGTATGAGTGAAACAGAGAAATGCGCCCTTAGAGTTGCTGTATTTGACTGAAGTATGGCTCCGAAGCTTTATTAAAGCCAGATGTAAAGT